AGCGTCATTGTTGGGGTGAGTGAGTTTACCGCTATTATTCAGTTTGAATCCAATAAATCAGAATTCCACACGACAGTACCTATATTTCCTGCAAAGACAAATGATATATACGTCAAAAACAAATTCTTGTCTCGCATAACATGTTTTCTGGACACAACAATAACTCTCCATTGCATGTTAAAACTATTTTGACCTGCAGATCTTCTACTTCATTGGCTTTGCATTGTTCTGCCTGGAGTCTTTGTTAAGCATGTGGGTCATTCAGGTGAAGTCACTGCCTACTGCTTTTCTATTCATCTCTTGATACCTTCAATTGGTTCTGAACCGTAAGCTTTGCTTCCTGCAGCGTGTTTACCTGTACTTCCGAGGAAGTGGGAAAGAATCAGAGATGAGGCGGGAAGCAGCACGCAGTGCAGCGAGGGCAGCATTTTGATGAAACCGTATATATATATATATATATATATATATATATATATATGCACGACATGTATACTGTTCATAGTTTGAAGTGTTTTAGATCAACAGACATATGTAGAGTAGGGTTGGTGTACTGTAAATCTTCAGGATTTTTCTTACCACAGTGTTTTGAGCTCGTGTCAATATGACAGTATTAGTATGGAGTAAATACACATGGACGGATGAACCTAGGCTATTTGTTCCATATTTGCAATTTTGTGTCCCACCTATTATCAGTTATTGTAGCAATAATAAAGTTGTAATGATGTTCTCACTCAAGATTTTTAGGAAAAATATTGCAAAAATATAATTACATGTCAAGGGGGTTCTACTCATACCCACTCACAAAGAGCTTTCGGTTTTTTTCTAATACCAGCAAATAAAAGTTCTTTCCAAAAAAATACCTGCAAATAATAAGCCTTCTCTAAACCAAACACACAACAGTGGCCGTCCATCACCGGGTGGTCGGCTCGTCCACTGTTGCATCCGCCCTCGTCCAATGTAACGCCCGGTTGGGCAGATGCAGCTACGTGATGGAAGTTTTTTTTACTTTCTGATTATCCTGTACAGACTGCATTGCCTAATAGCCATCCAGCGGCATTGTGATTTGTATATGACATGCCCAATTTGAAAGAGTTTTGACCGAGAATAAATGAGATTGACCTGGGACCTTCTTGACAGAACTGAAGCGCTCCTCAAATTAACACGGTGATGTGGACGTGAATAGTACGTGATCTCTGGACAAGACAATACATCGGCCAGTCCCACTCAGATTGCTGTCTGAAACTCTGAATGATGCATCCCTCAACTGCCTTTCAGCATCTCTGCAAACTCAGAGCCACTTGCCTCTATCTGCAAAATCATACAGCACCGACAAACACAAACATAAGGTTACACAAAATCTCTCTCAATTCCCGTCAATGGTGTTATCAGACTAGTCTTACTCTCCATCCCAAAATTAGCTCGCACAAAAAATATGCGTGTGGCCTGCTTTATTTTGTTTAGTACTAGTACTGTACTCGTCGGCTACTCGCTCGGGCAAAATGCAACAGGAGATTCGTTCAATCTTGGAAAAGAACGGCCAATGCAATGAACGGGTGAGTTGAGGCATATTACCCTTTTTCGATTCAGACAAGTGAGTAACAAACCTGGATGGTGAGGCCTGAAACAGATCGCGTGAGGTCGCGAGGGCTCTAGCGCCGCCGCTGCCACCGTCGTCCTCGGCTTCAGGTCGCATCCTCGCCGCCGCCTGAGCCCACCACTGGAAGCCCCGCGCGGACGCAACGCAAGGAAAAGAATGCGGCGGCGGGGTTCTTTGGCTCCTTCCCCGTGTGCGTTGGCAGCATCGTGGGCACACAACACGGGGCACCGTCCATGAGGACGACGGTTTGTGGACTGCGGAGAGTCTCTCCATCCACAATAGGCGTATGATCTGCTTCGTCCTCCGGCCGTCCGGCGGGCATAGGCGTGGGCGTTGAAGTTGAAGATGTGGTCCGATTGCTGATTGCTCTTCGTTAGTGCTCTGATCGGGACGGGTGTGGCGCACTGCGGCTGGGAACCGAGCAAGCTCATGGTATGCAGGTGTTAGACTGAACTGAACTACATTATCGAGTCAAAGAACTCCACTTTGTGTCAAATTGTTTGGACTTGTGCCATGAAATTTCTTGCTCGAAACACACTTCTATTGACGGGGTCGTAACATCGTTTAGCTTTTTTTTCTTCTCTAAATTCTCTTTTCTCTATTATATATTCTGTTGGAAATTGACAGATTGTATTGCCACAAAAGAATTCTAGTATTCTGTAGATGATGATTATGTGGCCGGAATTGCATCTAGAAGCTTGCTGCTTGTCGCCCGAGTGATCCAGACAGCGGCGCTGCCATCACGTGCCCACTCCCACAAATAAAGGGCACGCAGGGGCATTTCGGCATGCATCTACACCCTTCCAATCTAGTCACACATAATTAAGTTACAGGAACCACCACTAGCTTATAAAACCAGGCGCCAAGCTCACAGCACGGATCACGGATGACAACGATTTCTAGGCTAACACATCATCCACGGGACCACGGGCTGTCTACGGTCACACGTCTCCATTTCTCCATGGACGAGACGACAGGAGAACTCAGATGGCGGCAAGGGTGGCTGGACGGCGGCGGCGGCATGCCGCAGGGGCCGTTGCTTGCCGTTTCGAGCATCGTCGCCTTCTTCCTCTACCTGACATGGCAGATCGACGAGTACGAGGAGCAGCTACCTATACTGAGCAATGGAACCCTCCTAGAGCCTTTATAAATTTTTAGGCAAAGTTCTATAATGTAGGTGGGGTTGAGACTTAAGATCGAGCAGCAGTCGGAGATATGTGTTGTTTAGTCCCCTAAAATTTTTTCTGGATCTGCCGCTGGTTGGTTCTTTCTGGTGGACCTGTCCGGTTAAGTTCTCGATTTGATACGACTGCTTCTATTTTATTTTAATTTATTTTAGAATTTAATGACGCTATTTTTTTAGTGGTAGATGATGTACTCATCGATATTGAGGCACCTATGGTGACTACATCAATTTTGAGATTTGTCGGTCCAACTCAGTTCTTCGGAGGTGCTCGTAGAGTAGGATGTGCGTGCGCACGTCCATAGGGGTGAATGTGCGCATGCGCACGCCCACGCGGGGCCACATCTCCTTTTGCGCCTGCACCTTTCCTGCGCTTGCCGCTCGTGCCACCTCCACACCCACGTGCATGCACGCCGGCCCAGCAGCTACAGCAGGTGGTTGTGGTAGATGAGTCCACTGCAACATGTGCAACATCAGATCTACTTCTGCAACATCTAGATGAAACACTTACAACATACGTCCAAAAATAGTTGAAACACAACATACGTCTGAAACACCAGGAAAACATGTGTGTAGTCATTCCAAAACATATGCAACATCTAGATAAAACACTTGCAACATACTTCCTCTATCCCTAAATAATTGTTGTTTTCGCTTCCCGAGAAACAACTTTGACTATATATATATAATATTAATATTTTATGGTAAAAATTAATATCATTAGAGTTAGATAGATCTATTTTTATAATAAATTTATTTAGAGATACAAATGCTGCACATATTTTTTTTAAATCCAGTCAAACTTACGGCACGGAAACCAAAAGCGACAGTTATTTAGGGACGGAGGGAGTATGTTTGGAACATATGCAATATCAAGATAAAACACTCGCAACATATGACTGAAACAACTGAAACATCTAGAACAATACACTTGCAACATACGTGTATTGCCATGTCAACATATGCAACATCCACATGAAACACTTGCAACATGCAAATGAAACACTTGAAACATACACTTGCGGCGCAACATCTTCTTGCTGCTTGGGTGAATCGAGGCTCATTGACGTGGAGCTCGATGCCACGAAGGTCGCTAGTTGCGAAGCTCATCGACGGCGTGGATCTCGGCGGCGCAGAGCTCGCCGGCAACACGTAGCTGGCCGGCGACAGTGCGCGCAGAGTTCAACAATGACACGTGGATGTCCACGGCACAGAGCTCACCGGCAACACGAGGCTCTCCGGCGGTAGAGCGCAGAGAGTAGGTGGGGTATGGCCATGACATGCGCAGGCGGGTGGCTGCACGAGTTCGAGACGAGGAGGAGATGCACAAGCTCCACAACATCCTTCCTCTCCCTGTTGTTTTGAATGGAGAGACGAAAGAGAGAGATACTAGATGGAATCGGAGAGAATAAGTTTAAGTGGCTACCTGATGAAAGTATGAGATGTTTGTGTGATGGGTACAATATGTGAACAACGCGAGGCCACGTAGCGTCCAACGTCCTGACGCAGATTGGACGCCTACGGTGGAGCATTACGAATTATAAATTCTTTTAGTTTTTATAGATATATAACTTTCATTATATATTTGGACATAACTTATATCTACTCCTTCCGTCCCAAAATAAATTTACTTCTAGAGCTTTGGTGCGAAGATCAATGCTAATGAGAAATTACATTTATACCCTTGTAAAGATGTAATCATTGTAACTCGAGAAAAGAGAAAGTTGAAAAAGACAACTAGAGTTGGTTTGTCTTATACCTAAAGTTGTAATTATTTTGGGACAAATTTTGAACTTTAGAAGTACATTTATTTTGGGCAGGAGGGAATAAGTTTTTTTTAGCAGATGGACGGAGGGAATAAGTGTTATAAACAAAATTCACACGCCTCAAAAAATTTATATAACACTTTCAATTTAGAAATGGAGTGAGTTGGGCCCACAGGCTTCTTCCGCACAACGAACCTCAAAGTTTTTTTTTTGAACTCAACGAACCTCAAAGTTGGTTGGGCTTAAGCCCATAATCGGTCAAACGACATCCACCGTGGCCCGTACCGGAATGAAATTGATGGGCCTCCGGCCTCAGGGACAGGGGTCCAGCTTTTCACCCTCTCGGCCTCTCTTCTTCCCGCACCTGCCGCCCGCGCCGTGCTCGACATTCCCCACCGGAACTCAAAGTTGCCAGCCTGTGCCACCCGCCGCATCCGCAATCGCATTCTCCACCATGTCCGCCGCCCAAGGGCTCCTCGCCGACGTCCCAACGCTCCGGATCTTAGTTGGTCGTCTTCAAGGCCGCCGCGGCCTCCTCCGATCCCTTCCTTACCCTACTCGTCGACACTTGCGGGCGGCTTCCTGCGCGGCTGCGCGGAGAGGCGAGGGCGGCACCATCTCCGTTCGTCGTGGCGGGAACCAGGCCTCGCGCGGCGGGTGTTCGGCCGACAGAATGCCGCGCAGGAGCGCCGTCCCCTGCAACTCACTCGTCAGGCTGGGCCAAGGTATTTGAGCTGCTCCGGTCATGCATTGAGGTGTACTGCAGTATCCTGGATCGACACATCCCATAGAAGAATCCTCCTCACCGCTGACCCATTCCTCAACAATCTACAACTAGAGATATTTGAGTACCTCCTGACATCTATTGCCTGAGTTGCCTCTGACTGCCCAATGGAACAACATATGCTGGATCACATTCTATTTGTTATGTGTGTTCAGGAGATAAATGAATGTGAACCAAAAATGTGAATCATGGAGAATAAGCTTAGGGGAGCTGGTCTATTTACTTGTAATATAATCTTCTTCATGATGAATCTGTAGGATCAGTAGTTTGTTGTCAGTTTGTATAATTCATTGTAAACTGATGGTCGAACAAAACGTTGACTAATGTGGATCCTAAAATGACTTCTAGTTTCGGGTTGGAAGAAAACAAGAGCACAGTCATGAACCATTTTAAATAAAAGAATCTAGAATCAATATTAATTTGAAATACTTCTAAAAAAAAGTAAATTGTATTCAAATTTTCAGAATTTCCAGCAAGTTTTTAGTCGTTTGTGAATTTCCTTCTTGCTTACATTATACTACCAGTATGATTTGGGATTCTATATTGTTTCCCTGAGGCTCCTACTCAATTTATTGATGTTATTATGCAGTGATTGATTGTTGAAAGTATAATTATTCCGAGGCATCTGGGAATTTTTTTTAAAAACAAATAGCCCATTCTGGCTGAATAACAATGTTGCCTAGTGTTATGTGGCTGCTAGGATTGAGAGGGAGAGGCGGCGATGGAGCTACAGTACCCGCGGGTACTGTTCACACGAGGGAGAGAGGGCAGGGACGGCTGGCTCCTAGGGAAGCCAGCAACTTAATTGTTGCTTCTTGCTTGACTATAACTGATACAGGGTTCTCTTTTATAGAGATGACTGACTTGACCCTTAAGGAAATATCCTAACCGAATCAATCTAACATATATCTTTCCTAACAAACCAAACCACATATCTCTTTTCTAACAAACCAAACAATCTAATATAATCTAATCACGCGCTATAGTACCGCGTCGCTACAGTACCGCGTGGGTCCATGGGCCGGCTCCGGCTCTACTTGCCATAACACTACTCCACCCCTCGAAGACAGCTCGTCCTCTAGCTGTGGCGATTGCTGGAGCGGAAGACCTTGTGGTCCAGAGAAGATCGCCATGGCAGACCTGCTTCCTCCTCGAGGTGCCAAACTTGGCTGCTCCATCTGATCTGCGTGGAATCGAATCCGCCCGGATCGAATCCATGGAGCGCCTGCACGTGGAGTCGATGGTGCCCTCCATGAGCAGCCACCCCCGCTATGGGTGCAGCCGAGCGGGGTTGTGCTGGAGGCGTACTCCAAGCGACCGATGGAGCTTTGAAGGCCTGCTGCTGAGCCGGCGGAGAATAAGCACATGCAAACAGCCACGGCCCTGCTCGAGGGATCGGTGCTGTGGCTCGTAGAGGCAGCGACAAAGGCACCATGTCCGCCAATGTCGGTGCATGGATGAACGCCTGCATTGGTGACACTAGTGCTGGCGGGGTTGTTGGCGAAGCTGGTGAGGAGACTGCCAGAGTTATGGCAACCGGGGCCTTCATTGGTGATGTGGCGAACTCCAACGGGGCCTGTGTGGCGGCCGAGGGCGCCGCGCCCGTGCTGTCCATCAAGGGCGACGCGGCCCCGCCGTAGAAGACGCCCAGAGCCGGGGCGCCGCTAGGCGCCAAGACAGCCCCGGTGGCCGAAAGCGGCGGTAGGTGCGGCTGGGTACTGGGCGCCGTGTAGATGGGTTTCAACAAACCGGCGATCCAAGCCGGAAGCGGTGGCGGCGGCAGTTGCTGCTGCGTGGGCGGCGGTGGTGGGATCGGCTGTGGTCCTTGCGGTCCCAAAAGGAACGCATGAATCCCAGCTGCGAGGGTGAGAGAGAGCCGGCCGCGGGGCGTTTGCCCACGGCCGGGCAAGAGGGAAGGGATCTCCTTCTTAATTCTTGCTTGATTAGATCGATACATCTCCTCTCCTTATATAGAGATGTTTACTTGACTCCCAAGCAAGGCTTACTTGACCCTTAAGTAAGCGACCCTTATCTCTAATTAACCCTAACACTAATGGGCTATACAGTCAACCCAGGCCCAATAGGCCCCTGACGTACTCTAACATTAGGGTTAATTAGAGATAAGGGTCGCTTACTTAAAGGTCAAGTAAGCCTTGCTTGAGAGTCAAGTAAATCTCTCTATATAAGGAGATGAGATGTATCGATCTAATCAAGCAAGAATTAAGAAGAAGATCCCTTCCCTCTTGCCCGGCCGTGGGCAAACGCTCCGCAGCCGGCTCTCTCTCACCCTCGCAGCCATAGACGTGAACAGTACCCGTGGTACTGTAGCTCCGCGGGTACTGTAGTGCGCCAGCCGCCGTCGCTCTCCTCGCCTCTCCCTCTCAATCCTCCAGCCACATAACACCTAGTTTGTGACAGAGGAAATGTATCCACAAGACATATGGAAAACTTTGCTAGCTTCATGCCACAATCATATTTTTAATAAATCAGAAAGCCAAGAAGATGCTTACAAGAAATGTAACCCATCCACAGAAACATGTTGAGAAAAAGATGACAAGAAGTAAAGTCCAAAAGCAGCACCAATCATCAGCATCACGACAAGACATCCCAGCCTCTTTCTTAAGCACCAAACAACAACCAATACTCTCCATGTCTGTAAAGCAAGTTCATTTCATGGGTTTTAACCTTCCTTCACCATCCACTAGGGCTAAGAGAGATTGAAGAAAGCTAATCAGGTTCTTCATTAGGTAATTTTCTGCTATTCACATCAATCGACTAAGCAGAAGTGCTATTTATAATTGCATCTTTTTCGAGTACAGTCTGTTTGAACTTTATATTCCTATGCAACTTCAAATTTCATCCGCTAAATTTTGACGCATCAACATTTTTTCTCAACAGGAGATGCTTTTCCAGAGTTCCAAGCTTATGATTGCCAAAGCTATGACTTTACAATTCAGGCACTACATTAAAAGGGCGTACCCAGTGCAGAGAGCTCCCGCTCTGTGCGGGGTCTGGGGAAGGGTGTCAGTGGCAAGCCTTACCCTCGCCTGTGCAATGCGAGGAGACCGCGACTTGAACCCGGGACCTTCCGGTCACAGGCGGTAAGACTCTACCGCTTGCACCAGGCCCGCCCTTCAATTACAAGCACTACATTATGCGGATAAAACAAGATCACTACAACTTTTAGAAGAATTATTGTACGTTTCATGCAAAAGATGAAGTTTTCCTTTTCCTGATTAGTTGGTCTTGCAAACAACATGTAGCTGCCACCTGCCAGTGAACTTTGGGATTACTTCTGGGATGCGCAAGAGGAATTTCATGATAACCAAATTTATAGTTTTTAGCTGGGTCGCTTATTGTGGTTTGATTTTTGCTAAGTTTTTGTTGGTGCTCTTTGTCGCTTTGCCTGTAGTAGACTAGTTTCTTTGGCCTTGTGTCCCATAGTCACAGGTCTTGTCAGTTGTCGAAGGCTAGTTGCTCTGGTCTAGTTTTTTTTCCCTTGGGGAGGGGGATTCTTCTCTCTCCTTTGTACTATTTTTCTTTCTCTCTTTAAGAAATGATGAGCAACTCTCTTGCGTGTTCGAGAAAAAAATTAATCAACTCCTTAAGGGGCACAAATAAAAAAAACATGGCATTGTATATTAGAAGTAGGGACGACACAAATTTGAGTAGAAGAGGACAAAAGCTGTGAGGCACAAAGTTTCAAGCTAGCTAATTTCTGAGCAGGACTTTCACTGTTCTGTTGACAGAAGAACTAGCAGCATGCTGACCACTTTTATCCTTTTTTTCTCTGCAGCTAATAAACAGGACATCTTAGTTGTGATAATACATTTTCGGCAACCATGTTTTGGAAGGTAAATCCCTCAACGCATGGCCAAGAAACAAAAGTGAAAGGTGGGGTCTATCTTTTGTAGATCATAAACTTTTCAAGAACAGCTAGATCTAGTGGAGCTCTAGCACAATGGAAAGTCCTGAGTATTGCGAGATAAACTCAAATACAACTCTCGACTACATAAACCGACTGTTAATGGAGGAGGGCACTGATGAGAAGGCCAACATATACCAACGACATGATGCACTTCAGGCCATGGAGAAGCCATTTTATGATATTCTTGGACAAGCATATCCATCTTCACCTAAGGAGACAATGATCAGTAGAGATACCCAAGTAGATTGTCCCCAAGACAATTATAGTGAACAGGCATGCAGTGGTAGTTTTTTCACTGATATTCTTGGGCCACAAGGTATGCACCTGGTTGCCAATGACTGGGCTTCTGAATGTGACCATTTGTCTTTGCAATTTGCGAGAGGTGCTGAGGAAGCAAATAAGTTTATCCCCAGTATTGTGAAATTGGTTGATCTGGACAGTAATGGCCTTCCTGATTCTAATCAAATGATAAAGGCAACAATTGGACAAAAGGGCAAGCATGTAAGCAAAATACAGAGTCATCCACATGTGGACTTGGAGATTTTGGAAGCAAAGAACAGTAAGCATTTGGCCATCTCGGTTAGTGAAACAACCCGGGATGAAATGTTTGACAGTGTTCTGCTCTGTGATTGGCAGTTCCATTGTGATGTTGCTCATCTTAGAGAAATTAAGGCAAAAGAAGCAAACAGCAGTTCACAGAATGTTCGGAGAAAAGGATATGGCCAAGGGCAGATGAAGTCACGAGGTAAGAAGAAAGAGGAGGGGATTGACCTCAGGGCTCATCTCATGCAGTGTGCAGAAGCAATAGTAGTAAACAACCTTCCATTTGCCAGTGAGCTACTGAAGAAGATGAGGCATCACGCTTCACCATATGGAGATGGCTCTCAGAGGCTGGCACTTTACTTTGCAATTGGTCTTGAGGCACGCTTGGCCGGGACAGGGAGTCAAATGTATCAGAAACTGATGGAGAAACGAACAAGGGCCACAGACATGTTAAAGGCCTACCGCCTTTTCAATGCAGTGTGCCCTTTTGCTAGGGTGGCATACTACTTCTCCAACCAAACAATTGCTGACCTATTGAACGGGCGACCAAAGGTTCATATCATTGATTTTGGCATCACACTCGGCTTTCAGTGGCCATCATTAATCCTGCGAAGCAAGAAGGTGGCCCCCCAAAGCTTCGTATCACAGGAATAGATGTACCTCAGCCAGGTTTTCACCCCCGTGCAATAATTGAGGCGACAGGAAAACGCTTGGCCGAGTATGCAGAAATGTTCAATGTGCCTTTTGAGTACCAAGGGATCGCCTCACAATGGGAAGATATCTGCATCGAGAATCTCAATATTGACAATGATGAGGTGCTTATAGTCAACTGCATGTACAGAACAAAATATCTTGGTGATGAGACAGAAGACATAGATAGTGCAAGGGATAGGGTACTGCGTACCATGAAGAGGATCAACCCAGAGGTTCTCATTCTTGGCATTGCGAATGGGATGTACAGCTCCCCATTCTTCCTGCCACGATTCAGAGAGGTTTTGTTCCATTATTCTGCGCTGTTTGACATGCTCGATGCAACTGCTCTCCAGAGTGACGAAGATAGGATACAGATAGAAAGGGATCTGCTTGGGGCAAGTGCACTTAACGTTGTAGCATGTGAGGGTGCAGAAAGGATTGAGAGGCCAGAGACTTACAAACAGTGGCAAGTGAGATGTCTCAAGGCTGGGTTCAAGCAACTTCCTGTTAATAAAGCAATCCTGAAGAGATCAATAGATGAAAAAAACAAGCATTATCATGAAGACTTTGTCATCGATGAAGATAGCAGATGGCTGCTACAAGGATGGAAGGGGAGGATAATGCATGCAGTGTCCTCATGGAAACTGAAAGAATCATACACTAATCAGTAAGATCCAAGTAGATCTTTGTGAACAAGTCAGCTAAACCTGTAATGATGTTGTCAGGACCTTCAGACAATCTTCAGCAGAACGCTTTAAGTATCCTCTAGTCTAGACTCTCATTTGAACAAATGTAAGTGCCACATTAAACAAGGCATAAATGAGATTTAGGAAAGAGGTGATGGGTATAACAGATTGAACAGACATAGCAAGTATGAGCACCCTGGTCTATTGGTTCAGGTTCTCCCCACCACCTTCCCTGTCTACCCACTGATCGCAATTGGTGTCCCTATGTGGCTACTTTGGCTACTGACAAGATTCTTTTTTTTCTTCAAAGGGAGATCAACGGAGGTATCCACCTTGTTGCCTAGGAAAAAAAGTATGTATGCCAAGCGAGCTCGGTGTAAATCTTCAATGGGGTCTATGGATGCCCTGGTTGTGGCTCCAAAAAAAAAAATGCAACCTGGTTGACCTTGAGCGGGACTGCAGTTACCTATTCATGCCAACACTTCAGCATTGTTCACTTCTCAATTATCATAACACACTGTTTTGGACTTGTCGGTGTTTTGAGTTGCCACCAACAACTAAATTTCTAATATTGCGCGTCTGGCTCGGATGGTGTGCTAAGAGGACATGAGGTTTATACTGGTTCCGGCAGAATGTCCATACGTCTAGTTCATTGCTGCTGCTCGTGTTACTAGCATTGAAAGTTCGTAGTAGGGGTTACAAACGGTCGAGAGAGGAACAGGTCCCAAGTCTCTGGTGAGAGGAAAGAATGGGTGCCGAGAGCTCGGTCGCCTCCCGGCTGTGTGCTTGTGTGCTCTAATCGGTTCGGGGTTCGAGCCCGAATCGGTGTGATGTGTTTCGATGCGTTCGAGTGGAGTGGAGTGGAGTCCAGCCCCCTTCATGGGACGTCTTGCTTTCCCTTTTATAGGCCAAGGGAAAGTATGTGTTACAGTTGAGGGAAAAGGGGAGAACGAGAAGGAGAAGAGGTCCTCTAGGATCGCCGAGTCCTTTTCCTTCACGCGGGTCCCGCTGACCCTGTAGACGTCAATAGGGACAGCTCCACGTCGCGGCCCTGTCCGTCACTAGCGCCATGCGCAGGCGTCATCTCCCGGTCATGGCGCCCCACTTCGTCCTGGCGGACATCGTGGCGAACTGACGTGCCTGTTAGTGCTCGTATGAGGGTTAGGCAGAATAGCACCAGTACGCCCGACGCTGTTCCTGATGTGAATCCCCAGATATGGCCCGTCACGGCCACGGGTTACATCGGGGTGTGCCGGTCACCTCCCTGGTGTCAGAGCTTTGACCTAGGCCCATTCGCTAGGATCTGGAGTGGTTGGCGGCGGTATGGGTCTCCGTCGGGCGAGGCGGAGTCCTCCCGCAGAGGCCAGGCGAGGCGGAGCGCAGACCCAAGGGTCGGGCGAGACGGAGCCCGCGACCTCGGGGTCGGGCGAGACGGAGTCCTCCCCCAGAGGCCGGGCGAGGCGGAGCGCAGACCCAAGGGTCGGGCGAGGCAGAGCCCGCGACCTCGGGGTCGGGCGAGACGGAGTCCTCCCCTAGAGGCCGGGCGAGGCGGAGCATAGACCCAAGGGCCGGGCGAGGCAGAGTGTAGACCCAGGGGTCGAGCGAGGCGGAGCCCGCGGCCTCGGGGTCGGGCGAGGTGGAGTCCTCCCCCAGAGGTCGAGCGAGGCGGAGCTTGCGCACCTAGGGGTCGGTTGGAGCTGTAGTCGAGCTCTTGACTGCTCGGATAAATTAATGTTGATGGTTATTAGCTCCTCTTCGGGTACCCTAGTATTCATCCCCGACAGTAGCCCCTGAGCCCGCGGAGGAGTAGAATACTCCTTCGGAGGCTTTTTCGAATGGGAGGACTCTGAAGGCCTTGCCCTTCTTTTGTTGCCCACAGCGTGATCTGGGGACGGTGATTCCCTTTCGTCGAGATCGGACCCCTCAGGGGTATAGCCGTGAGGTTTGGTGGGTCGGAAAAGGTCCTTCCCTGATTTTGACCCCTTTGGAGGTCTGTTGTTCTGCGATCGTGTGTTCGGTCTCCTTGCGAGCCCTATTTTCCTCGAGCCCCCATGCGTAGACAGGGTCCGGTCGAGGGTCGGCTTGTCTTTGTGACCGTCACCCCGCCCACAGTTTCCGCCTCTTTGGATGAGCCACGGTGCTCAGTGAGTTGTTAGCTGGCTAGTCCAAGTGGGGCCCCGGCATCCCGTTCGTGGGGATTCGGCTTGGGTCAACTGGTGACAAACTCCAGACCCTTGGCGGTCAATCCATATAGTTCTCGGGTCCATTCGATCGGTCCCGAGGGCCTTCTGCCTTTCTTTTTGAGGGAACGTGGGTCGGGATGCCTGCGGCGCTCATGCGCCTGGGTACCAGCTGTTAGCGGGTCTATCCCTTTCCACCTCTCACCTTAAAAGGTGCCTGGAGCAGTTTGTCGAACCCATCGATGGGTCGACCTACCAACTCCTGGGCTAGTTGGGCCGTAGAGATGCTTTTAGATCCGTATTCCTTTTACTCGTGACGAGTCGTGACCCGTCCGGAGAGGCGAAACGTCCGGTGAGTTTTTCGAGGGAACGGATACAGATTGCGTGCGCACGTCCTGCGGCGGGACGTTGTGGCAGATCGTGGCAAGCGCGGAGATCTAAGCGGACGATTGGTTTCCTCGCATCTGTCGCCCCTATAAAACCAAAGGGTTCGCCCTCAGGGTTCCAAACCTTGCATCCTTGCCTCCGCAGCCACGACCGCTGCCACCAATCGCCTTGGGTTCCCCGTCTCCGCATCCCCGCCGCCGTCGAGCTTGCATCCAACCGTCCCCACCTCTAATGGATCAGTGGTGCCGTTCTGACATCACCTTCCAGCGTATGGAGGGCCTCGTCCGTCGCGGTCTTCTCTGCGTGCGGACCTCGACCGAGGAGTGGCTGCTACCCGGCGAGGAGGATCTGCCATCGCCGCTCGACGGCTACATAGTGTCATTCGCCCACTTCCATGAACGTGGGTTCACGACCCTTGCCCACAGATTTCTCTAGGGGCTGCCGCACTACTACAAGATCGAGCTGCAGCATCTCAACCCCAACGGGATCCAGCACATGGCGGCGTTCACGCCCTGTGCGAGGGATTCCTGGGGATCATGTTGGGATTATGCCCTAGAGATAATCATAGTGATGATTGTATTGCCTTGTATCCATGATATATTATGAGTTCAATTGAATATCCATTAAAGACAACTTGTATTGATTGGCAATTATGTGAATTGTTTGTGAAACTCTTTTACTTGTATGGTTATTCCAAAGTTGTCCCTGATCAGAGTTCTTGTGAGGACACACATGAATATTAGATCAGCACATTATTAGTTGATGACTATGTTTCACAAGTCATAGACATGGAGATGTCAAACTAATAATGTGGGCACATGTATGACATGGGGCTGGACAGACCCAACGTGAGATGTTCTTATTGTCTCTTTACACATCATGTACGTTATGTCCTTAGACCTGAGATTGTTGTATGTACTCAAGATGTGAAATGACCTACTGAGGGACTATCAAACGCTACTCCGTAACTGGGTAGTTATAAAGGTGGTTTTCAAGTTTGTCGGGAAACATGCTGTGAGACATAGTCAATCAAGATGGAATTTGCCCCTCTTCATGAGAGAGAGATATCACTGGACCACTCGAATGATTTGGATCAAGAAAATGCATGGCCGTGCTTGGGTTAATAGTTAACCCACGAGTTGGACCAAATATCGTGTGACAAAGGGAATAACATGTATGTGGTTTTGTGGTGGTTCGTCTGATATGATCTTTACGTGTGCATAGGAGTTGACATGCCTTGCTAGAGGCCGCTGCCAACTATTGGCCGAATAGGAGTATTCGGGCCATGTCTATGTGTGCGTGAACCCATAGGGTCGCATGCTTAAGGGGCTGGAAGCCTAAGGTTTAGGGTTGCTAATGGGCCTCCAACTCAGGAGCTCATTAGGACGCCTATATAAGCAAGGGGAGGGCGGCAGGGCTAGGTCAATCCACGCCATTTGGCAGCCGCCACCCTTCCCCACGCCCGCGCCTTCGTTCCTCGTGGACCTAGCAGTCCGGAGGCGCGACGCTTCCTCCCTGTACGTGTGGATACCTTGGAGGTGCTGCATCTGGAGCACAAGGACGAACCGCACGAGAGGGACGGGCGGAAGGACGACCACGCAACTGCATGGCACTGCTGCGACGTGCACGACTACACCGAGTCGCTTCCGCTGCACCTGCGCGTCTAGTGGTAATCCCGTGATCCATAACTAGCGGTAGTTCCTGGTTTATGGGGTCAAAATTTTTGTTTTTCGGCTAGTGTAGCAACCTCATAACCCTTCAGTGGTATCAGAGCCGTAGCTGCGTCATTATGGATTCGGATGTATGCATATGGAGATATGCGCGGTTGTAGATGTCTTTCTGATCATGGTTCGTGATCTCGCTATGTTGGTCTTGTAACGATCTACTCGTACCGGTCGGAATTCCGCCATCCGAGTTAAGTGATACATGTAAACCCAGTCATGGTGAGTTGGAGATCAATTAGATTGATCGAATCGAACCTAGGTCAAGAGCCGAGCGCATGTGATGCGCGGTGGTGGTAGATTGGATCTATTACCGGGCGCCGGGGTGCAAGAAAAAGTGATGTTCAGTAAAACGGCCGTAACTTTTGCATACGACCTCGGATTGAGACGATTCTTAAACGAAAATTGTAGAGAAAATTTTTTTACATCCGATTCTCCTCAACTTTATCGGGTTCACTAAATTTATTTTTGCTAAAAAAGGCTGGGAAGATGGTGTTTTTGGCGTTTTAAGATTAGACATCGGAATCGGTTAACTCTATTTTGCAGGATTTCATGACTGGTATAGCCCTTATGTGTATGTGATGCATGTATGTAATTAATTCATGGCTTGCACGTCATGAGGATGACAATATGGGCTGGAGCCTCATAGATATTGTCAACATTATTGTAATGGCCTGCGTGCCAAACTGTGATGATCCTATCCGTGACTATGTAATTTTAGTTCACTGTCTTGCGTTAGTGATAGCTAGTCTTGGCGGACTCATCACTGAAGGATGGCATACATGGATCATGGAGATTAATGGAGATGGAGATCCCCAGAGGAACAATGGGCTATACCAAGTCATATCTGTGTTAATGTCGTTCTTACTATGTTCTACTTTCACGTGCGATAATGTTTTTGTCTACATGTGATAGTGAAGTAGAACGATCCCTCAGCAATGTTTAAGTTGAATTGCTCCCCCAAACCTTGCACTGTCTTTGGTCTTGTACAATCGGTGGTGGGTCTATGAAATTAGGGTGCCACTGATTTTCCTTGACTAGACAGGTTCGTATCGGATACTTACAGTAGAAAGGTTGGTTACTTGAACAAGGTCATCCTAATGGTTAGGGACCTTGGAGCATAAGGAGTTGGGCGCTATAGCATAGAGATGCTACCAACAACAAGAGTCATATGTGATATGATTAGCAAAGAGTTGCTTACCGATCTACCATGTCTTCTAGCGGTGATGCTAAAGCTCACTAGTAGACTTGTTAGTTGTGGGTCTTGAATCACTAAGTTTCAATAGAGGGATATTGATTTTAGTGGGAGTAGATTCTATTAAAGGCTTAATATTATTTACTCTGTCATAGATACATTGTCTTAGTATTTTTGCATTACTTTTGTTATAGATAAATGGCGCCTACCAATCAACCGCTTTACTTTATTCAATTCTTGAGAAAGATAAGTTGAATGGAACAAACTATGCGGATTGGATCCATAACTTTGAGAATTGTTCTCGTAATTTGAGAAAAAGGAAGATATTCTAGACACCCCATTACCTGTAGAGCCTCACGATAATGCACTGCTTTCTGAGAAAAAACGCTTACAAGAAGGCATGTGATGCTGATCTTGAAGTGAGTTGCCTTATGCTTGCTTGTATGGAACCGGATCTGCAGATGCGGTTTGATGACAACCATGCAACATTGTCTTATATGATCGTGGCGCTTAATGATATGTTCCGAGACTCAAGCCGGACCGAAAGGTTCAATGTCTCAATGGCTTTTGTTGAAACCAAGCTAGCGAGAGGGCGCAGCGATGAGGGCCACATGTGATCAAGATGGTTGGTTACACTCAGAGGTTGGAGAAGCCGGGCTTCCCAATTGGCCCAGAGTTGGCTACTGATTTCATTCTCACGTCTCTTCCACCTAGCTATGGGAACTTCATCTCGAACTACCATATGCATGGGGCGGAAAAAGGGCTTGAATGAATTGTGTGGTATGCTTAAAACTACGAGAGGCGATATCAAGAAAGGTCTTGGCGATAGCCATGTGATGGCGGTCCAAAATAAGCCCGATTTAAAAGAGGGCAATTCTTGGAAGAAGAAGAAGGGCAAGGCTAAAGGTGAGGCTAAAGGTGAGAACTCTAAGCCAAACCCACCGCGCGCCAAAGGTGGACCAACTAACGACACTCGAATGCTATCATTGTAAGGGAAAGGTCATTTGGAGGAACGCAAGTCGTACTTAGAATCCATGAAGGATAGCGGCGGTAAAGGTACTCCCGCAATTTGTACACTTGTTGTTTATGTTACGGACATTTTCCTCGCTAACTTTTATATAAATTCTTGGGTATTTGATACCGGATCGATTGCTCATATTTGCAATATGATGCAGGGAATGATAAGAAGTAGAAGCGTGGAAAAGGGAGAAGTTGATTTCCGCATGGGCAATAATGCAAGAGTTGCTGCGTTGAACGTTGGGACGATGCAACTCCACCTCCTGTCAGGATTTATTTTGGAATTGAATAATTGTTATTTTGTTCCTAGTTTAAGTCAAAACATTGTGTCACCTTCGTGTTTGATGAAGGATGGTTATTCATTTGCGAGTAAAGACAATGGTTGTGTTATCTCTAAGAATGACATGTTTGTGGCTTTTGCATCCATTGTGAATGGGTTATTTATTTTAAATCTTGATGATGCACCTGTCTGTAATATAAGTGCTAAAAGGCCTCGGCTTAATGAGTTAAGTCCTACCTATATGTGGCATTGCCGTTTAGGTCATATAAGTGAGAATCGCATGAAGAGGCTCCATGCTGATGGGCTTTTAACTTCGTTTGATTTTGAATCATACGAGACATGTGAGGCTTGTTTGCTAGGGAAGATGACCAAGGCACCTTTCACAGGTTTTCCTGAGAGGGCAATAGACTTGTTAGAACTCGTACATACTGATGTATGTGGACCAATGAGCATGATAGCTAGAGGCGGATTCCAATACTTCATAACCTTCACTGATGATTTTAGTAGATATGGCTATGTCTACTTAATGAAACATAAATCTGAGACATTTGAAAAGTTCAAAGAATTTCAGAATGAAGTAGAGAATCAATGTGGCAAGAAAATTAAGGCCTTGCGATCTGATCGTGGAGGAGAATATTTGAGCCACGAGTTTAGCAACCATCTAAAGAGTTGTGGAATTGTTCCACAGCTTACGCCACCTAGAACGCCTCAGAGAAACGGCGTGTCCGAGCGACGTAATCGGACTTTGTTGGACATGGTTCGGTCAATGATGAGCCAGTCAGACCTACCTTTATCATTTTGGGGATACACTCTAGAAACAACCACTTTCACATTAAATAGGGTACCGTCTAAGTCCGTAGTTAAGACACCATATGAGATGTGGACTGGTAAGAGTCCCAGTTTGTCTTTTCTAAAAAATTGGGCTTGTGAAGTTTGTGTCAAACGACTTCAGTCAGATAAACTAACACCCAAATCGGACAAATGCTTTTTCGTGGGATATCCAAAGGAAACTTTAGGATATTACTTTTACAACCGATCAGAGGGCAAAGTGTTTGTTGCTCAGAATGGTATTTTCTTAGAGAAAGAGTTTCTCAAAAGAGAGAAAAGTGGACAGAAGGTGTATCTTGAAGAAGTTCAAGATGAGCAAACAGGGAAGGACTCTACGAGTGATGCTAATGTAGCAGAACAAGTTGAGATACCCATGGCAGTAGAGGCACCGCCACAACCACGAAGGTCAGCAAGAATCTGTGAGGCACGCGGGGAATTGTTATTGTTGGACGATGACGAACCTGCGACATATGCGGAAGCAATGATGGACCCAGATTCCGAGAAATGGCAAAGTGCCATGAGATCCGAGATAGATTCCATGGGAGACAATCAAGTTTGGAACTTGGTTGACCCGCCTGATGGGGTTAGACCCATAGAGTGCAAATGGATCTATAAAAAGAAAAGGGATATGGATGGAAATGTTCATGTCTATAAAGCTCGACTTGTTGCAAAGGGTTTTCGGCAAGTTCAAGGAATTGACTACGACGAGACTTTCTCGCCAGTAGCGATGCTTAAATCTATCTGGATCATTCTAGCAATAGCTGCTTATTTAGATTATGAGATATGGCAGATGGATGTTAAAATAGCCTTTCTAAATGGAAATTTAGAAGAGGACGTCTATATGATACATCCCGAAGGTTTTGTTGATTCAAACAATGCTGGAAAAATATGCAAGCTTAAGAAATCTATTTATGGGTTAAAGCAAGCATCTCAGAGTTGGAACATTCATTTTGATGAAGTAGTCAAAGGGTTTGGTTTTCATCAGAATGAAGAAGAACCTTGTGTTTACAAGAAAGAAAGTGGGAGTGCTGTTGTATTTCTAATCTTGTATGTAGATGACATACTATTGATTGGGAATGATATTCTAATGTTGCAATCAGTAAAGACTTCACTGAATAATAGTTTTTCTATGAAGGATTTAGGAGAAGCAGCATACATTTTGGGCATTAAGATCTATAGAGATAGATCGAAGAGGCTTATAGGATTAAGCCAAGATACATACATTGACAAGGTGTTGAAATGGTTCAACATGGAACAGTCTAAGAAAGGGTTCTTGCCTATGTCACATGGCATGCACTTTAGCACTAAACAGTGTCCTTCGACAGCTGATGAGCGCAATCGTATGAGTAAGGTTCCATACGCCTCGGCAATTGGTTCCATCATGTACGCCATGATATGTACACGTCCAGATGTCTCATATGCTCTAAGTGTTGCGAGCAGGTACCAAGCTAATCTAGGTGAGAGTCACTGGACACTTGCTAAAAACATTCTTAAGTACTTGAGAAGGACTAAAGATGTGTTCCTAGTCTATGGAGGTGAGGAAGAGCTCGTTGTAAATGGTTACACCGATGCTAGCTTCCAAACTGACATGGATGATTCACAATCTCAATCAGGATATGTGTTCACAATAAATGGTGGTGCGGTTAGCTAGAAAAGTTCCAAGCAGGAGACGGTGTTCGATTCTACAGCAGAAGCCGAGTACATCGCAAGTTCTGAATCTGCGAAGGAAGGTGTTTGGATGAGGAGGTTTCTCATTGAACTTGGTGTGTTTCCAAATGCATCTAGCCCATTGAATCTGCATTGTGATAGCAATGGGGCTATAGCACAGGCCAAGGAGCCAAGGAATCACCAAAAGAACAAACATGTACTTCGGAAATTTCACCTCATTAGAGAGTTCATTAGTAGAGGTGACATCAAGATGTGCAAGATACACACGGATTTGAATGTTGCAGATCCTTTGACAAAGGCTCTTCCAAGCCTAAGCATGAGACGCACATGAGAGCTATGGGTATTAAATATCTTCGAGATTAACTCTAGTGCAAGTGGGAGATTGTTGGGATTATGCCCTAGAGATAATCATAGTGATGATTGTATTGCCTTGTATCCATGATATATTATGAGTTCAATTGAATATCCATTAAAGACAACTTGTATCGATTGGCAATTATGTGAATTGTTTGTGAAACTCTTTTACTTGTATGGTTATTCCAAAGTTGTCCCTGATAAGAGTTCTTGTGAGGACACACATGAATATTAGATCAGCACATTATTAGTTGATGACTATGTTTCACAAGTCATAGACATGGAGATGTCAAACTAATAATGTGGGCACATGTATGACATGGGGCTGGACAGACCCAACGTGAGATGTTCTTATTGTCTCTTTACACATCATGTACGTTACGTCCTTAGACCTGAGATTGTCGTATGTACACAAGATGTGAAATGACCTACTTAGGGACTATCAAGTGCTACTCCGTAACTGGGTAGTTATAAAGGTGGTTTTCAAGTTTGTCAGGAAACATGCTGTGAGACATAGTCAATCAAGATGGAATTTGCCCCTCTTCATGAGAGAGAGATATCACTGGACCACTCGAATGATTTGGATCAAGAAAATGCATGGCCGTGCTTGGGTTAATAGTTAACCCACGAGTTGGACCAAATATCGTGTGACAAAGGGAATAACATGTATGTGGTTTTGTGGTGGTTCGTCTGATATGATCTTTACGTGTGCATAGGAGTTGACACGCCTTGCTAGAGGCCGCTGCCAACTATTGGCCGAATAGGAGTATTCGGGCCATGTCTATGTGTGCGTGAACCCATAGGGTCGCATGTTTAAGGGGCTGGAAGCCTAAGGTTTAGGGTTGCTAATGGGCCTCCAACTCGGGAGCTCATTAGGACACCTATATAAGCAAGGGGAGGGCGGCAGGGCTAGATCAATCCACGCCATTTGGCAACCGCCGCCCTTCCCCATGCCCGCGCCTTCGTTCCTCACGGACCTAGCAGTCTGGAGGCGCGACGCTTCCTCCCTGTACGTGAGGATACCTCGGAGGTGCTGCATCTGGAGCACAAGGACGAACCGCACGAGAGGGACGGGAGGAAGGACGACCACGCAATTGCACGGCACTGCTGCGACGTGCACGACTACACCGAGTCGCTTCCGCTGCACCTGCGCGTCTAGTGGTAATCCCGTGATCCATAACTAGCAGTAGTTCCTGGTTTATGGGGTTGAAATTTTTGTTTTTTGGCTAGTGTAGCAACCTCATAACCATTCAGATCAGTCCCTACTTCGATCTGTGGAGGTACTTCTTCGCCATCACCGTCTAGAAGAAGAGGGAGAAGAGCGGCATGCAGGAGCTGCACATGCCGATGGGGTGCGTCGGCATCCAACTCCGAAACAACCGGGTCGGCGAGTACCCGCCGATGCGACTGTCGACATCTAACAAGGGGTGGCATTCGCAGTGGTTCTACCTCAAGAATGCCGCCGCCGCCCCTCTGCTGGAGTTTACCGAACGCCTGATCGAAGAGGCCCCAGAGTCGTGGAGGAAGTGAGACATTTCAGAGAAGGACAAGAAGAAGATTCGGGACCACATCACCGCCATCCACATCCTAAAGGAGAGCGGCCTGAAGAGGTCGGGCGTCATCGGAGCCTACCACACAAGGAGGGTGGCGCCGTTGATGATGCGCGCACTCCCACTATACGTGATGGTGCCCGAGGTGTCATTCGATGGAACGACGCTTGCCGAGGGAGCGCTCTCCCACTCTGAGGTCGCGCAACACATTAAGGAGGCGATGGAGCCTTCGTGGGACGATGCGGGCGCCCCCTCAATTTCGTTAACCCGGTGCCGGGACATCCTCCGATGCGGTCGGAACCAGGCCATGTGAAAGGTCCCTGTGTGGTTTTGGTAATTGAGTGACAACCTAGGTGGACTAATTGTGTTTATGTGAGATACACATGTGATTAGTCCACAGGTATATGTGTGTGAGCAACATATGCCATGAAGGTGGAAATGGCTCAGAGATGTTGCAAAGCTCACATATGTGATGATGAAGGAGCTCATTGCACATGAGACATGACATTGAGTCATGTGATCAAGGTGGAGAAGATCAAGACAAGACTTGGCTTTATGGACTGGTTGCAAGAGTGAAGGGCAAGTCGGAGGCTTTGGAGCGATGGACCGCATGGCGGTGTAGCTTGAGCAAGACTTGGCGCCGATGGACAAAGGCAACGGTGAAAAGCAAGTGAAGTCAAGATCGATGAACCAATATGATCACATGATGATATGAAGTGGATCATATCATTGTTGATCGTGTTGGTGCATATGTTGCATCAACATTTTAGGAGATCAAATGAAATGCGCAAGGCAATGGTATAACCTAGGGCATTTCATTTCACTGATCATAGGTGTGTAGAGAAGTTGATGACCGGGTTTAGGATAGATGGTTGTACTATCAAGAGGGGCAAACTTGTTTGCATATTGGTCATCTAGTGCCACTTGAGTGATCTAACTTTGCATCGTCGCTAGGATCGAGTGGCGTGGCAAGTTGAGTGGCTAATCCCTTGGAAAATGATTGTAAAAATGCTAACACACATACACATGGTGGCGTACACTTGGTGGTATTGGCACATTTACAAAGGAGAAGAAGTTGGAGTTGATGTGGATCAACTTGGTAAAGAAAAGGGTTCAAAAATTCACCGGCACCCTATACAGAAAAGACAGGGTTTCACTGAGTGCACCGGACGCTGGTCACGCAGTGACCGGACGCTGGGGTCCTACGTCCGGTCAGTGGCGCGCAGTGAAGGCCACCCTTGGTCTCTTGACCAGACGTAGGCGACTGGACTCTGGCTGAACACTGTTCAGCGTCTACTCGTGCTGATGTGGCAGCGCACAAAGGAGACAGTGAGTGACCGAACGTTGGGTGAGTTCGGTCGGGCATGACCGGATGCGTCCGGTCGCGTGTGGAACCTTACTAGAAGTGATCGGACGCTGGGGTCCTGTGTCCGGTCGTGATCAAACTAACGCGTCCAGTCATGGATGGAACCTCTCTGGAAATGACCGGACTCGGCAGAGGTGCGTCCGGTCTTAGCACTGTGCTGCGTCCAGTCATCACTTGACCATTGAGATCAAGCGACTGAGGTTGAATGGAAGCGACACGTGGCGTGCATCTGTTGACCGGACGCTTGCAGGGTGCGTCCAGTCAATCTGACCGGAGCGTCCGGTCACCCCGAGCTGTGCCTAGTGAAGGGGTAGAACGACTCTATTTTTGTGGGGCCTATAAATAGAAGGTGGTCTCGGCCATGGATGGCGTTGAGCACCTTGGGGGACTTTGTGTCCATGCTTGAGAGTGCTTGGGAGCCCTCCATCTCACACTTGCTTGATAGTGATCATCCGATTGTGTGAGTGAGCGATTCTAGTGCGATTGCATTGTGAGGTTGCATCGAGTGGCACTAGGTGATTGAGTTTTCAAGCTGGTGGTGCTTGTTACTCTTGGAGGTTGCCACCTCCTAAATGGCTTGGTGGTGGTCTTCGTCGAAGCCCGCAAGAAGCTTGTGGGTGCTCCGGAGAAGAGCTTTGTGAGGGGCATTGTGCTCGCCCCGCGGGAGCCACGAAGAGCAACTCTAGTTGAGCGTGTCATTGAGCTACCCTCACTTTTGGGGTAGGTTCTTGCGGTGCCCGATGTGCAGGCTTGGCGGGTGATGCCAGTTAGCTGTCGAACCACCAAGTGAGCGGTCGACACAACGGGGACGTAGCGTGTTGGCAAGCACGTGAACCTCGGGAGAAAATCACCGTGTCAACATTGTTCTTCCCGTTGGTTTGCAATCCCCTTACACAAGCTTGTAATTATTTTCATATACATTGTGCTTGTGTAGTTGCTCTTGTAATTAGTTAGCTTTTGTAGCTCACTAGTTACCTTCTTGCTTGTGTAGCATAGAAGTAGCTCTCTTGCGTGGCTAATTTGGTTTTTGTAACCGTGTTAGTCACATTGCTTAGCTTGTGTAGCTAAGTATTTGCGCTCTCTAATTTGGCATTAGTTGCCTTGTTATTGAGCATTGCTAGTGAGCTTAGTTGGCTTTGTGCTTTTGCTTGCTAGCATGTGTAGGAGCTCCCTCGTTGCTTGAAATACTAGTGGCATAGGTTTGTGTGACCTTGCTCTTAGAATTGGATAGGTGAGCTCTAGCGAGCCCGACACCTTTGTTGCCTAACTAGGATCTTTATAAGGTGCTTGTGAACTTTGATAGAGGGGTGTAGTCTTGGCTAGACCGAATTGTTTTAATTCCGCATTTGTTTCGGTTAGTCGATGCGATTAAATTTAGAAATGACTATTCACCCCCCTCTAGTCGCCATATCGACCTTACACCATGTCGTCTTTGTAAGTTTCCCCTCCTCATACCTCCTCTTTAATTGATTTCCCGGCCTCTTGATACTAACTTTGAGAGGGACGGGATCAGCCGAGGGACCTCATCTTCATGGATCACCCGGCGCTGTTGCCGAGGGATTCGTCCATGAGGGTGGCGAATCACGCCGAGGGCGAGCGGCTGAGGAAGGCGAAGGAGGACAAGAGGAAGAAGCAACAGCGAAAGCTGCAGGCATGGGGGCGAGGGGAGGACATCGACAGCGATGATGATCATGATGATGGAGACGACAACGA